GTCATCTTGATCAGCCAACCATCTTCATAACAAGACTTGTTGACAAGTCCTGGATTTTCTGCTAGAGCTTTATTAATTTCCATTACTTCTCCTGATAGAGGGGAATAGAGTTCACTAGCAGCTTTCACACTTTCCAAAGCACCAAACTCCTCTTTGTTTATTCAACTTTGTCCCAACTTCAGGCAGACTACAGTAAACAACATCTCCCAAAGCTTCCTGTGCAAAATTGCTGATTCCCACTGTTCCAACACCGTTTTCTGTTGTTACCCATTCGTGTTTTTCTGTGAATTTCCGCACCGACAGCAGAGCAGGGCCGGTGCGCAGTGCCCGGACGGCACCCGCCCGCAGTCCCCAGGGCCGCGGCGAGCAGGGTGTGCTGGGTGCCGAGATGGCGCGCAGGATGCCGACCGCGGCCCGCACGCTCCGCACCGCTTGCAGCGCCATGTTCGCACGGGTGTGGCTCTGTTTAGTTTCTGTTGTTTTGTTCACCTAGCGCGTGGTACTTTATCACAGCAGCCCTAGCAAGCTAATACACTTTACATACCCCCTTTCGTTCATAATTTTTAAGAGAATATATGAGAATAATACAAGAAACATCCATGTATCCTCTAGCTCAAATTTTGTTTTTTTCTCTATGAATATATATATATATATATATATATATATATATATATCTTCAGCCTCCCAAATATATACATGGTCTTATATTGAACTTACTGTTCCTACAATGTATTTTTTCAACCAATAGATCATGATTATTTTTCTCCAACAAGTTTTTGATCTGTTGATTTTTTTGACTAGAAACATGTCCCTTTACAAAAATACTTAAACATGATAGAAATCTACATCTTACAAGTGAAAATCTCTAACTCTACCTTCCAGAAATAATCAGTCCTGAGAGTTCAGTGTGTAGTCCTCCAGATTTTTTTTATAAGTATGTATCAACATGCTGCTGCTAAGTCACTTCAGTTGTGTCCAACTCTGTGCGACCCCATAGATGGCAGTCCACCAGGCTCTCCCGTCCCTGGGATTCTCCAGGCAAGAACACAGGAGTGGGTTGCCATTTCCTTCTCCAATGCATGAAAGTGAAAAGTGAAAGTGAAGTTGCTCAGTCGTGTCTGACTCTTAGTTACCTCAGGGACTGCAGCCTACAAGGCTCCTCTGTCCATGGGATATTCCAGGCAAGAGTACTGGAGTGGGTTGCCATTGCCTTCTCCATATATCAACATACACAGGTTATTTTCCTACACAAATGGCATCATGGTTGACTTACAGCTTTGCAGCTCGCCTTTATTTTTCTCAGCTCTGTGTTTGGAGATCTTTATACCTCAGAACAATTGACCTTATTTTTAATGGCTCAGTCATCTTTCCTTGAATATATGTAATGTAATTTATCAAGTGGGATTCCCTGGTGGCTCAGTGGGAAAGAATCTGCCTGCTAATGCAGGAGATTTGAGACGCTGGTTTGATCTCTGGGTCAGGAAGATCCCTAGGAGGGGGGCATGGCAACCCACTCCAGTATTCTTGCCTGGAGAATCCCACGGACAGAGGAGCCTGGTGGTTTACAACCCATAGGGTCGCAGAGAGTTGGATACAACTGAAGTGACTTAGCACTCATGCACAATTTATCAAGTAGCTAAAATTCTTAATCCTTTCACAAATATTAGTCATTTCAGTGAGACCTCAGGTTAGACAGATCTGTAAGCTGGGATACAGAATCTACAAGTGTCCCACCCCCACCCTACCCTAACTAGTCTGTATTCTCAACTGAACTGGACCAATCATTCTTTCTTCTTTTTTAATCTTTATTTACTTAGCTGTACAGGGCTTAGTTGCAGCACACGGGATCTTCAGTCTTTATTGTGGTATGCAGGATTTTTAGTTGCAGCATGTGGGATCTAGTTCCTTGATCAGGGATCAAACCTGGGCCCCCTGCACTGGGAGAGTGGAGTCTCAGCTACTGGACCACCAGGGAAGTTCCTGAATCAGTCATTCTTGCACCAGATTTCAGATAGAATATGCACAGGTGTACACTAGTCTTCCCAGTCAGCTCAGTGGTAAAAATTTCACCTGCAATGCAGGAGAGCCGAGTTTGATCCCTGGGTTGGGAAGATCCCCTGGAGAAGGAAATGCAACCCACTCTAATATTCTTGCCTGGGAAATCCCATGGACAGAGGAGCCTGGTGGGCTACAGTCCATGGGGTTGCAAAAAAGTTGGACATGACTGGGCACACACTGGGTAAATACATACTATCAATCACTTTTTTTTTCTTTTAATTCCGCTTTTGCTCTGAATCATACAAAGTTTCTTTTTCCAGAAGTCTGAACCACATGAATCCCTTTTTTTGCTAGTCTAAAGGTGAGCTTGAGGGGACTCCTTTCCCCTTTTTTCCCTGAGTCTCTCACCTCTTGGGAAGGTAAAGAAGGGGGAGTTCAAGTAAAGCCATGGTAAAGACAACAAGGGCTGAAGGAGAATTTCTCTTTAAGGTCGAAATCTTCATATACCTCCATGGTTATTCCATTAAAATATATTCTCAAGTGTGTAATTTCTGGCTCAAAGAGGATGTTGAGTGTTGGGTTTTTGGAGTACAATGCTCAATCATCCTATCAAAAGGTTACATCAATTTTTAAATCTACCAGCCATGTATGGGACTGCTTGTTTCCCAATATCATCAGTGTTGGGTGGGCCCCTTAAAAAAATAACAAAGAGGGTGGTGCTGACCAGGCTCAGAGTGGCTTGAATTCAGAAAATACGATCCATCACTTCTTGTCCTTTAGGCTAAGATAAAGTGCATAAAACACGATCCAGATCCAAAGTGACATCAGGGAATTTCCTGGCAGTCCAGTGGTTAGGACTCTGTGCTTCCACTGCAGGGGGAAGTGGGTTCGATCCCTGGTTGGGGAACTAAGGTTCTGCAAGCTGTATGGTGCAGCCAAAAAATATCAGAATCATTCGAATTCTGTACCTGCATTTTTCAAATACCACAAAAGGGACAGATATCCAGACCACAGTATACTTTAAAGTCCCCCTTTTCTTCCCAACCACACGTCCTTCACACACTACAGGTGTCCCCGTTCCTCTGTCTTCAGCACCCCACCAATACCTCTCTGTTCCCCTTCTTGTGAGATTTTCCTCATCATCTTTCCTGTCACTTACCTCTAGCGTGTGTGTGCACATGTGCATGTGTGCATGTTTGTGTGTATTAAGGTGGTGACCTCTCCACCTTTCTCTATCACAAAAGCCCCAAAGAACCGCACCAACTCAGAAAGACCCTCCTCAAACGGTAGGTAGGGGACAAAACCGCAGGCAAAATCCTTCAGTGGGTGGGGAGGAAAAAGCTTTAAGCATTCCATCTGGTCATGCTAAAGTGGTTGGCTGTGCGCTCCTTGAAGGCCAAGTGGGACATGTTAGTTTGGTGTCCCTTACACTGGGCTTAGCACACAGTTAGGGACTTAATGTTCATTCATTGAATGTGGGAGCACTGAGAATTGATCAACTCTTGTGCTGGGGGTTGCAAGAGACATTCCACAGAGATGTTTGACCTAGGCCTGTAAACAAGATTACCTTGGGCTGCTCAGAATGACATCACTTCCTTTCAAGTGGGGGATAAGGTGGTGGAAGTTAAAGGTGAGGGAAGGTGAAGAGGAGGAGGAAATTCCACTGGATGGCTTTGTTTTCCCCCTCTATGAAAAAGGAGAGTTGGTGTATGGGATGCGGAAGAGGCAAAGATTTGGAAAAGCCAGTGTGGGGAGTTGGAGGGCTTCAGGAATGAATTAGACACTTGCTGGACCGTGGTAAAGGCTCATCTGAGGGTGAAAGAAATGATTTGTGTGTTTGATCTTTGGGGAGACTCACTCAGGTGGTTGGATTACAGTAGTGATTGGGGCTCCATCACTTAACAGGGAGAAAATGAAATGGATAAAGGGAGTGGATGGCTCCCTAACACCGATGAATGACTACACATTAGACAGTGGGGGGTGGGGAGGCAGACAGCAGAAGTAGTAGTTTTGTTTGGAGGGGGAGGAGAGCTGGAACTTGAGATTTAGAGCGAACAGGTGTGTAGATCTTGGGCCTGCACGGCTGAAGTGCGGGCAAAGTCATGGAGATGATGTTAAGGAACTGAGACCAGGCTGGCCCTGAGGATGTCCAAGTCTTCCAGAATCCAGGGTGGTTCCATGAGCCACGTGACAGCCCCCCCCCCCCCCCAACCCCAGACTGGCTGACAGTGAAGCATAGTTGAGAAGATGGCGACTCAGCGAGAACTTCAGCGGAATAGGTCTGTACACACAGCAGGGTATACTGTGCAGGAGGGCGGTGAGGATCTTGGGGAACGAGCAGTCCCTTCCTTCAGCGTGGACGAAGACAGACGGTGTGGGACGGTGAGAGAGTCTGGGTGGTGTGTAGAAGTGGGCCATCTCTGCACCAACGGAGGGGGAGAAGAGACAGGACTGTATTTCCAGACGCAGTGCACAGCAGCTGCGGACACACGAACTTACTTGGTGACCCCTCTCTGAGCCCAGACGGTAAAGCGTCTGCCTGTTATGCGGGAAGACCTGGGTTCGATCCCTGGGTCGGGAAGATCCCTTGGAGAAGGACATGGCAACCCACTCCAGTCCTCTTGCCTGGAAAATTGCATGGATGGAAGAGCCTGGTAGGCTACAGTCCATGGGGGTCGCAAAGAGTCGGACAGGACTGAGGGACTTCACAGGTTCACTCAGCCCATTGGCCCAATACGAAGGCGGGCTGGAATTTGGTTGCTACCCTAAGTGAGGGAAACCGAGGACTAGGGGGTGAAAATGGCGGAGGCGGGGGGTTAAGCTCGGCCTTGAACGGCTAGACAAGCCGGGGCAAGGCCCTTCGGTGGCGTCGCGCGTCTCCATGACGACGCGGCGCGGCGCCCGGAAGAGGGCGGGGCTTCTGCTGCAGCCGCTGCTGGCGAGGCATCTCTGTGACGCCGGAGGCTGGGCCTAAATGGCTAAACCCGAGAGGCTCCCGGGGGGGTTTGAACTGGCCAATGGGCGAGCTGCCGACCGGGTGTCGGAAAAGGAGGCGGAAGCGGGGAGGAGTCGCCGCCGGGGCCGGACTGCATCCGCCGCGGCGTCTCCATGGCACGGCCCTGGCCTCCGACTTCAACGACTTCATAAGGCGGCGTTTCTGGGCGCAGCCGTGTCGCTCCTGGTGAGAGGCCGCCGGGAGGCGGGACCCAGGCCGCTCCGGGTTGGGGGGGCGCCCCCTTCGGGATCGCTGGGTCCCGCTGCCCAGACACCCCCCCCTCACCCACCCAGGCCGTCCCCCGCCTGCACGCTTGTCCCGCTCCGGTCAGAATCTGGACCAGCACCCCCTCTGCCCCGCCCACCGGCGCGGGCCTTCTTCTCCCGCTAACGGGCGGGCCTCTCCTCACCTGGCCACACCGGCAGGGCGCTCTGCCACCTCCTCCTCTGCTGCCCTCCGGCAGGGCTTCGCCCTCCTCTCTATGGGCAGAAACGGGGCCCCTCCAGCCCGCTGGTGGGTGGTCGTCCTTCCTCTCTCCGCCGACGGAGACTGGGCCCGCACCTTCTTTTGCCCCGGCCGGTGGGGCCCGCCCCGTCCGCCTCGCCCTCCCTGGAGCGCATCGGCCCGACGGTTATTTGGGCCGGGCTCCTCGTAGGCAAGCGCTGTCCTCGGGGACCGCCTCCCGACCTGGTTTAGAAGGGCCTCCCTGGTCCAGCGGGCTTCCCTCCTGGGGAATCCTGCCCCCGGCTCCCTGCCACAACCCGGCGTCGACCCCGCTCTTAACTAGGATACTAAAATCCCAGGGCCGCCGCTGCTGCTGCGCCCTTGGAGCAATTTTTCCCTCCGCCGTCGGGGGGTGGCCCACTCGCTGCCCCCTTTGCCCCGCCCCAGCAACCTCCGCTCCTCCCTCCTCCAATTGCTGTTGGCCTTCTCGGGTGTCTATTCTGCCGGGAACGCCCCTTCTCCTAGGAGACTGTTGACCTGGCCCCGCCCCGAATGTCCCTCCAGCTCCCAGCGCCGGTTCCGGCCCTCTGGGGCCCACCTGGGGCCTAGCGGTTTTCTCCCAACTTCCTCGTAACGCTAGCCAGCATCTCAGGTTTCCACCACCCCCGCCCTGGTGACCACCCCGCCATCCCTCTTGCTGGGGGGCCTGGGTGTGGTGGTCCATTTCCCTCGAAGTTCCGCCCCCTGTTGTCCCTCCCTAGGGAGCGGAGCTCTCACAGCCCTTGCCCACCGGGTCGCTCAGCCTCTCTCCTGTCTTCCTCCCCACCCCCACCCCACCCCACCCCACCCCAACTTTGGCAGGACAGTTGCTGTGCGACCTGGACAGTAGAGGAGCGTCTCCCAAGTTTTCATCCAACAGCCACCCCTAAAGCTTCCACCCTCCTCCCCTGAGAGGACGTTTGATGCCGGGCCCCTGAGATTCTCATTGACAAGCCCCTCTGGGTCCCCCTGAGCCACAGCCTGCTGACCCATTTGCCCACCTTTGCGGCTTTGATGCCTAACCATGTCTGCCTCATCCTCAGGCGGCTCCCCCAGGTACTGCCGTTGTGGGGGGCACCTCTGCCAGCCGGGCAGGGGAAACGTGGGCAGGGGCTCCCAGGCGGGGCTGGCTGAAGGATTCTTTTCTCAGCGTCCCTGTTTCTGTGTACTGAAGGCCTGGGCCAAAACACTCAAAACTAAATTTTAGGAGGAAGGAGGAAAATGCACTCACATGATACCCTCCCTGCCTCCCTCTGGCCCCTTTCCTCAGGTGCCCCAGTTACTGGTAGCAAATAGGATCACCATTGTTGTCACTGGAATACTAGGCTCAGATCTTTTTTGAAAGGAGGCTAGGTGTCGGTAAATAACCATGTAAGAGGTGGATGTCACAGTTAGCCATATGTTGATGGAATCCAGGTAGTCTGATGGAAAGCCTACTGAGAAAGAGAGCTTTCCCACATCTATTGACTTTTAAGTGTTCACAAATGATCTGAGGAGGAGAAACACCTGTCTACCCAGGTTTGGTAATTCCTTTGCTAGACGATTAGTAGGACTCTATTTATTTATTGTTTTCTTTTTTACCAAGGTGTGACATACATACAACAAAGTGTGTGCTAAAGTGCTTGAGAATTTTTTGTTGCATTTTTATGTTGCGTTATTTCCCCCCAAAATAATGGAGGGTGAGGACAAGGTCGTATTTTGGGGTCCGTCTTTTAGGCAGTGTGATGGATCACATGTACTTTCCAAGTCCCTTCCGGTCTTGGAGTTCTTGGATGTACTGCTCCCAAAATTTGGAGATTAAATATTTGCTTTATTTGCATATTTGGTGAGGGGGCCATTTATGTATAAGTGAGATGTGGTATTACAAAAATTTTTTAAAAATAATAATAACTCTACCTCTTAGGTGCTTAAAGGGTAGCAAGTGAAATATTTTAGGTAATAATCATTTTTCATCCTCTTAGTTGAATATTTGATATCAGTTTTATGAGACTGAGTCACAGAGACTATTCCAGAGCCTATGGCTCTGTCTTTTCAGATCAGTCGTTCCCTGAGCATTGTCCCAGGCAGTATTCTGGGCACTTTCACCCTCATCCAGGCTACTATGTTGACTGCTACCCACATGCTGTCTGCTTTTTGTCTCCTGAAAGGATGACAGCTGGGCTTTTCAGTAAAAGGTCACAATAGTGTGACACAATGGCAGGCTAAAAAGCCAGCGCTGCGAATGCTCATTGCCCCATGTTTCCATCCTCCTGCTGGGCACACCATGAGTGTTTGGTGCTCGTGTCAAGGGAGCCAAATAATTCCAGACTGGCTCTCCTAGCCGTGAACTCGTTAGCCACCATATGTAGTATATAACTTCGGGAGAGCTAAGAAATAAAAGAGCCCTAGTTTTCTGCTTATAATCTGGTTCTTGTGCCTGGGTACAGGTTTCCATCGTGTGGAAAGAACGGAGTAACGAGTCTCACGCAGAAAAAGGTCTTGAGGACACCTTGCGGCGCACCCAGTGTTACCGTGACGGTAGGTGACATGCGCTCGGAGCAGCCCCTCCACCTTCGGTCCAGCCAAAAAAACAAAAACAAAAAATGCATGCTTCTGCTGGCACCCCGGTGGCCCGGCGCTCTGTTAAGTAAGTGCCTTCATACATAGACTGCTCATGGATGGATTTGGTTTTGCCTGTGGTAAGGCTGCTGGGTGTGAGGAGGTTGTCTTAATCTTTCCAGACAAATTTCAAAAATCATGAAACAAATTTTCAAGAAAGAAAGAAGGAAAAACAGTAAAAGAACGGGGATTGACAGGAGCTGCTGGTGGGTGAGGGGATCTCTGTTTGGCCCTGCTCATGCTGTCTTTAGAATCTGTACAACCTTCTCATCTCGGCATTTCTTCCAGCTTTCTGTCGTGATCGTCTTTTACCTGCCTGCTGCTTGTCGTGTCTTGCACCCTAACCCTTCTGTGTATTTCCCATGCTAACCCACATGCCCCTTCAGAATCCGGCGTGGCGGCCCCACCCGCTTTCCAGCTGTGCTGTGCTGCATCTCAGGAGGAGCTGTGTGTTCCAGCAGGCTTGCAAAGAGATGGAGCTCTGAGGACCCCGGGGCCTTGGGTTGGGGACTCTGTGTAGAACCCGTGGGTCGCTCAGCCCCTTTTCTTGGGCGGCCTTGGGTCTCCCCACTGGTCTTCAGTTGGCATCTCTGCGTAAGCCTGCTGAACGGCACACCCGCCTCGCTTCCCGCCTGCACACCAGTAGTGCTGGTCGCTGTCCTGCTCGCTTGGTGGCTAGGCTTTCAGCGGCCCCCCGAGGCTGTGAACTCGGTTTTTATGCCCAGTTTACTCATCCGCAGATCAACCTTTTTTGTGTTGTCCTCCCCCGCCTGCCAGAAGCGAACCATGAAGGACCGCTCTTCAACTCCCCCCTTACATGTTCATGTGGATGAGAACACCCCTGTCCACGTCCACATAAAAAAACTCTCCAAATCGTCAGCGACCAACAGCCAGGTAGGAGCATGCCAGGGGGGTGAGGCCAACGCACTCACTGTCAGAGGTCGGTCGCCTGGTTGGAAGGTAGGCAGGACAGTCACCCAGAAAAGGCAGCAGTAGCCTTAGTCAGAAGAGGCTCCCCTGCAGAGTTGGAAGCGGACGCCGCTTGCAGAGTGACGCCACGGCCAGCTGTGTGGGGAAGTGACCCTGGGTTTGTCCCTTTCCACAGAAATCTCATAAGCGCGGAATGAAAGGGGACACCGTGAATGTGCGGCGGAGTGTCCGGGTGAAAACCAAGGTACCTTGGATGCCCCCTGGAAAATCATCCGCCCGGCATGTGGGATGCAATTGGGAGGTAGGCTCATTCTTGTTCAGGCTTTTCTTCTCGGACTGGTCAGGTTCTAGCAGGCCTCATGCTCGGTATGGTTCAGGGTTGGCTGTAGCTCTCAGAGATGTCCCAGTGGGTCCCGCTCACTGAGTGCCTTGCTAAACCCTGAAAGTACGAGAATCTTCTCGAGTCCTTCCGACGCTGTAATGTGGTAGCTGCACCCGCTCTCCCAACGTGCAGATGAGAACCCAAGGCTCAGAGAGGTGAAGTGTCACAGAGGGAGTAGCAGAGCTGGAGGTAGGGCTCGGGGTGTCTCATTCTAGAGGTGGTACCCGTAGCCTCTCTGATTTGTATGTGAGGACCTAATACTGTGCTAGTGTCTGAAGCAGACTTGACAAATGTATACCAGAATGTACACATCCAGGAAGGCATCTCCTCTTTTGTGGTCGCCCGCATAAGAGACCATGCACTTACTCCATTGATAGAATCAAAACCACTGGAATAGGGACTTGCCTGGTGGTGCAGTGGTTAAGACTCAGCCCTCCTAATGCACAGGGCACAGGTTCTATCCCTGGTCAGGGAACTAAGATCCCACATGCCGTGTGGAGTGGCCAGAAACTTAAAAAAACATACATTGGAACAATCTCCTGAGGAATAATTGCCTTCAGTATTAGTTGCCAAGGTACCAGGAGAACTGTTGTCTCTTTTTGGCCATGCCTCAACACGTTTTGCTTGTCTGTCCATCCTTCTGTGCAGTGATTCATGCATTTCTCGAGACATTGCTGTGCACTGGCAGCTCTGCCCTCTACGCTTACATTCTGGTCCATGGCAGTGAAGAAACCCAACGATAAGGCAAGGCCTATGGCTGTGTTTTGGACCGAAGTCTCATGATTGAGACAAGTAAAGGCCTTGAGACTACAGTCGGCCCACCATATCCGCCGGTTCTGCGTCTGTGGAGTCAACCATCCAGAGATAAAAAACAAAAATCCAGAAAGTTCCAAAAAGCACAACTTGAATTTGCTGTGTGACAGCAAATTACATAGCATTTCCATTGTATCAAGTATTATAAATAATCTAGAGAGAATTTAAAGTGTACAAGAGGATGCGCCTAGGTTACATGCAAATACTGCCCCATTTTACATAAGGGACTTGAGCACCCTCAGATTTCAGTATCCATGAGTCTTGGAACCAATCCCCGTGGATACCGAGGGATGATGCATGCTCTGTTTTGAAAGATTTATTCTTTTTCTGAGAGCTTATTACTTTTAAAATTAGAAATAATCGTAATTACTTTGAAGTTTAGAGTCATACTTCATGCTCTTCACTCCCTGATTCATTTAATCCTTAAGAGACAAAGGGAGTTTGGTATTCTCAGGAGTACATGACAAGTGTTCTGACATATCTCTCCAAGGAAGATTGGAATTAAAACGATTTCTAAGATTTTTCTACCTTGTGTACCTCACTAGCAATCAGTGAAATGTAAATTAGAACCAACTACATTTTCGAAGAAATAGCAAGCTATCATTTTTGTTGAGTGGAAAGAAGTTGAACAGATTCAGAATATCTTCTGTTGACAAGCATATAGGGCTATCACCGAATCTTTTTAGATAGTTTTTGAGTGGATGGTTTGGCAGCATTTATCTAAACATGGATTCTGTAGTTCTGCACTTGGGAATTGATGCTCAAAAAGTCACAGAAGAGCACAGGAATCTGTGTGTAACAGGGTGTTTGCTGAAGCATTGTTTGTATTAAGGAAAAATTAGACGCCATCTAACGGAGGGTATTGGTTAAAATTAAGATGAATCCATGCAATGGAGTGCCACACAACCACTGCTCGATGGAGGCGGATGTCTCTATAAGCACCACGCGGCACCGCATGGAGAGTGTGGCCCTGTTTGTGCAGAAAAGGACATCTGTGTGTCCACGTGTGTATGAATATGTATGTACAAACATCTTCTGGGAGGCAATACTAGAAGTATTAAGCAGTGATTGCCTCCGGGTGTGGGAGGCTTTACTGCTTTATCTTTTTGTGGTCTGCCTGAATGTCTTTATCACATAATATATTTTATAGTTTAAAACACTTTTTTTTATTTTTAGTGAAGAGACTTAGGTAGTTTTTTGGAAATATAAATATCAAAAGTCATGCCACTGTGGAAATGGACTTCCTGTTGACATGGGTTGCTAGGAGCCATGGTCCCCTCTGGAAAGCTGAGTACCCCTTCCAGGCCTGAGGCCACAGAATTCTAGAAATGGAGGGGCCCAGAGATTGGCCGACCATCTCTTGACCAGTAGCTGTCTCTCATGCTGTCCTCTTGGACTAGCTCCTCTCCACTTTTCAGTGGCCTCCCATATTCCCAGCAGGCCTCAGCCCATCCTTTCCATTATCGACAAGAGAGAAAAGACCTTAGGAGGAGGAAGTTTGTGGTGGAGCTGAACATGGACTCCAGTAGCTGCTGTGTGATGTGGGGATTCTTGTTTGATTTTTTTTTTTATTATTGTTTGATTTTTAAAACCTCTTCTGGTACCTAAGATATCTTTCGGAGAAAACACGTCTGGGTTTTTTTCCTCTGTTATTAAGCAAGTCATCTGTTTTTATGATGGAAAGTTGAAAATACCATAAAAGAGACAATCACTTGTAATTCCAGCACACACATCAGAAGCGTGCTGCTTGTTGACTTTTTATAAACTGTAACTATCACCCACCTCCAAAATCAGCATCACCAGCTTCCCCAGAAAGTCCTCTCTGGTCCTGTTCTTCTCGCTCCCACCCTTGAACGAAACCAGTGAAACTTACTATTTTGGTGCATTTATCATCACTTTTTCTGATGCGGAGTTTTTTCTTTTTTTAAATTATAGTCATATTATCTATATATTTTCCTATTGTCCTCCTTTTATAGATTAAGAATAACTTTTTTTCTTATAAAAGCAATGCACAGTCATTGTTGAAAAATCAGAAAATCAAAATCAGCCCAGGGAAGAAAGTAAAAAAGACCTGTAATTCTGCCACCCCGAGAAGACCCCTGTAACTTTAGGTGTCAGCTTTCCGGATCCTTTCTTGTGAATATACTCATTCTTTTGATTTTTGTAGCAGTGGAATTATATTTTACATATTGAACAACCTTTTTTCCCTTATATTTTGACTGTATTTGCATTGTACATTATTTTTTTAAGGCCTTATTCCATTGTATGTACGTTTGTGTACTGTTAAGTTTTTAACCTGTACTGTCTTCTTGTACATTTATCTATATCCTAACCTGAATTTAAATATTGATTCACATTCTTATTCTTGATAAATTCCTCAAAACACAGTGTACTGGGGTAAAGAGCACATACATTTTAAAACTGCACCCTATGTGTCTTACTTGTTTGACATAACCAGCTACATGCTTGTAAAACACATCCTTTTATTCCTGATAGCCATCATCTTGCCCTAGAAATTGGCACAGAAGTTTAACCACCTTAGCTTAAGAGAAGCAAAAAACTGCAAATAGTGAGAAATAGCAACTACTTAATGCACTAGAATAAATGTATAGAATGAGAGAGTCAAAAAGTTCAATGTATCAAATCCCCGTGGAAATGCTGGCCCCCAGATTAGAATTTCTTTTTGAAGTCTCAAAGGTCTTACTCAGCTTTACATAAACTTCTCAGAGGAGCACATGCATTTAAAAAAAGTTTTTTTCCTGTTGATATATTTAAGTAAACATTTTCCAGACACACTATTTTAACCCTAAATTAGTCTGTATGCTTTTCTAATACCATTTTCTCCATGCTAAAATAACAATGATTCATCCTGAAAACTTCATTTCTATTTTTTTTTTCCAAACTTCATTTATTAATCATATAGTGTTGGGTCAAACTTCAGATCTCCACTTGTCCTTAAAATACCTGTTATAGAAGCTTTGTGTGCCTTTGCAGTGATCCACTATCATGTATTCATATTCTTTTAAAAAACTTGCCATATTTCATGAGTCTACCCGAGGTGTTTGAGAGTATCTCCTGCCCCAAACTCTTGCCAGCTTTAGGAATTACTGGTTTTGCCAATTTGTTATGTCCTTCATTTTAAACTTGACACTGTAACGCAGGCTTTTTATTTCTATATTAGAAGAGCTTCAGAAACATCATTTAAATGAGGGTAGGTAATGAGATAACGTTCCACCAAGGTGGTTGGTGTGTCCTTTCCTCTGGGGTCCCTGTGGTTGCCCTTTAGCGGTTTTAGCTCTTCCTGCCCAGTGGACAGTCGGGGCTGGTGGGACCAGTGGCTGCAGTTCTGCCTTGTGAGTGTATATATTTCTCCCTCCTCTACATCAGAATCCACCTCACTGCCTGGAGATCACGCCACCGTCTTCAGAAAAGCTCGTCTCCGTGATGCGGTTAAGTGACCTCTCTACAGAAGATGATGACTCCGGTCACTGTAAAATGAACCGTTATGATAAGAAGATTGACAGTTTAATGAACGCGGTTGGTTGTCTCAAATCTGAGGTGAGGGGCTGGACTGCCCAGCGTCCCGAGGCCACTGGAGACTTGCCAGGTGGTGTCCTGGTGGACACCCCCTTCCCGCTGCTTCTGCAGGCCTCCCAGGGTTTCAGATGCCCTTGTGGAGGTAGTCAGGGCAACCTGGGATTCCTCTCCATCAAGCATTTAGCCCGGGCCTGGCCCTGACCTTGCCAGGTGCTCTGTATGGATGGCCTGGTTTGATTTTTTTTTTTTGGCAACGGTAAATGAAGTCGATGGTATTATTGTCCCTGTTTTGGAGATGAAATGACTGGAACACTAGGGCCTCTTTTCTGTTTTTATGCAGAAGTTTAAAAAAAAAGCAAAGCAATGGCCCAGAGAGGTGAAGGAAGTTTGTCCTCAGTTGCTAGGCTATGTCTTTGGGTGGGACATGGCAGGGGAATCAGAAACAACCTGGAAATCCAAGGGCCCCCAAGTACGAAGCTGGCGGAGCAGCCTTGGACTCCAGGCTGTGGCTGCTGGTGGGGCCTGTGTCCTTAGCCTCCACTACGCCCAGGGCCCACGGGCCTCCCCAGAGAACCTGGGGCTGGTGGCTGCCTGGCAACAGGCCCGCCTTTCTCCACAGCCTGCGGGGCAGGGGCCTTTTAGTGGCACCTCCTCCGGTGGTGTGCCAGCTGAAGCACCGTTTGTATCCTGGCTCCGTCCCCAAGCAGAAAGTCACTCAGGCGCTGCCCGCTCCATTTCCTCAGTGACGAGATGAGAGGAACAGTGACCGCCCAGGGTCTTTGGGACGGCTGACTGAGCTGTGGCCAGAGGACCCCCCTCCCGCCCCCGCCATGACCCTTGAGCGCTCAGTCCGAGGTGCCCTCGGCTTGGTCCCGAGCGATGGGCCTCGAGATGTGGGGAGGGGCCGCCTCCCCTCAGTGGCCCCTGGCTGCGTGCCCCCACACAGGTCAAGATGCAGAAGGGAGAGCGCCAGATGGCCAAAAGGTTCCTGGAGGAGCGGAAGGAGGAGCTGGAGGAGGTGGCCCAAGAGCTGGCCGAGACGGAGCACGAGAACACGGTGCTGCGGCACAACATCGAGCGCATCAAGGAGGAGAAGGACTACACCATGTGAGCGGCCCTGCCCCCGGGCGCCTGCCCGCCCGCCCGCCGGGTCCCAGGGGTCAGCAAGGTCACTAATGCCCTCCTGATCCCCTGCAGAGTGCAGTGGGGGAGGGCATGGGGAGATCTTTGTGTTAAAAAAAAAACAAGAGTCCCGCAGGACAGCTAGGAGCCAGGCAGTGGGTGCGGGGGCAGAAGACCTGGTCGCAGGATCGTGTTCCGGGAAGGCCCCAAGGAGGGAGGCGTCTGTGACTGAGAAGTGAAAAAGCAGGCCAGAGCGAGGGCAGTAGGGTGGGCCAAGGGCAGGGGTGCCACAGGTTCGCAAGGGCTCTTGGTGCCCACTGGGAGGCATTTGCATTGAGGGTGCTTGGGAGCCACTGAAGGGTGATGGAAGCAAGGGAGTGGTGTGACCAGACGTGGGGAGAGCAGAGGGGAGAGCTCAGAAGTGGATCTGAAGATGGTGGCTAGGTGACCTTGGCAGTGGCCGGGGGCTGCGGTGACACTGGTTTCTGAGAGACAAGCAGGTGGCAGCACGTCTCCTGGTATGGAGGCCCCGCTCTGGTGACCGCATTTCCTTCCAGAAGGCCGCGCGGGCCTGAAGGGCCATCCCTGCCCCCCTCCCCCACTCCTGTGCCCTGACCAGGAGATGAGGCTTGCAGGGCATTGTGAGGCGAGCCTTGCAGCTTCAGGTGGGCAGGGCCCTGGGGGGTGGCTCACAGGGTCCTGTTCTTTCTGGCCCCAGGCTGCAGAAGAAACACCTCCAGCAGGAGAAGGAGTGCCTCATGTCCAAGCTGGTGGAGGCTGAAATGGACGGGGCTGCTGCCGCCAAACAAGTCCTGGCCCTGAAAGACACCATTGGGAAACTGAAATCGGTAAGCGGCCGCCAAAGCCGCCCAGCCCGGGGCTGGGCCCAGAGAGGGGGCACCTGCAGACTCTGGAGGGGCCTTTACGCAGTCATCGTGCTGACTTTATGACATCTTCAGGCCAGGGCAGGGCACTCTTAACTCCTCAGCCCCCCCTCCCCCTTCTCACTTCTGGGGCCTGACCCTCGAAGATGACCTTTGGTAGCTGGGGCCTCCGAGGAGATGTCATCATGGGTCTCCTGGGATCACAGTAAATCCAGGCATCTGTCTGATTCTTGCAAGTATCAGGCACCAAGTATATCGTCCAGGAAGTGCACCTCTTCCAGGAAGCCCGCCCTATCTGCGCTTGCCGACACTGAGCTCTCCAGCCCCTTTTTCTACCTGGCACTCTCAGCAGGCTCAGCTCCAGCCCATCCCTTCTGGTCTTCCTCCTGCAGCTGCCTTGCCCAGGCTTCCTGGCACCAGGGACTCCTAAGTTCCCCATGGAAATTCCCTGTGCCAGCTCTTCCATTCTCCCCCTGTGCCTGGCAAGATTGCCTCCTGTCTTTCAGGAGAAACAGATGACCTGCTCGGACATTAACACCCTAACGAGGCAGAAGGAACTTCTCCTGCAGAAGCTGAGCACATTTGAAGAGACCAACCGCACTCTGCGAGACCTGCTGAGGGAACAACACTGCAAAGAGGTGAGCGGCGGCCCCCACCCCACCCAGGCTCCCATGTGGAACCTGGGCCCTTCCAGCCCTGCAGGCTCTTGTCTGTATAAAGAAAATATTCTTGGTGCCTGCTGACCTGAGGGGTTATCATAGGAAGATTGGCTGAAATCAATCACATGAAACGCTGGGCATCTGGTAGACAGACTGCCTTCCTTTTTGAAGTGGGCCTGGCAGTACAAGAAGGACCTTGGAAGTCAGAAGGGCAGCGAGGAGTCAGGGAGGGGTTTTAGCCCATCCCAGGGTTCGTGTGGCAAAGCAGGCAGGGGAGGAGACCTGAGTTTAGGAAGTAGGAGGCTTAATGGCTGGCAGATACATTGTATGATATCACTTTGTTTTCTTAAAAAAAAATGGTCTCTGAAATATATTTTATGTTAGCAAATGATTCTGAAAAGACTGACAGTATAAACAGCTCTCTTCCCACTTGGTTCAACCCAAAGGGTACCTGGAGTCTCCAAATGCCAGTCCTGACAAGATGGTATTTTTCTTAGATTTTGTTTGTTTGCTTGTTTATTTTTTTTTTTTTTTTTGGCTGCTTCGTGCAGTCTGTGGGATCCTAGACCCCTGAACGGGGGTCAAACCCATACCCCCTGTCGTGGAAATTCAGAGTCCCAGTGACTGGACTGCCAGGGAATTCCCTATTTTTCTTAGTTTACCATCTTTTTTTAAAAAGCAGTGTCACCTTCCTTTGCTTTTATTTTTAAAATTAACATTTAAAACAATAGTGGACCTGCTATCCAACTTTTGAAACAAAACCTTGTCCACATGACTGAATCCCTCTTGGTCTCCTTTGTCAATAACCTCATCTCCCTCCCATCAGAGGGGAACTTTATCTGCGATCCGATAGTTTTTCTTTTGGGTACGCATCCTCAAGCAACGTATGGTATAGTTTAGCATGTTCTCAGACTTGACATAAATGATATTGTTCCATATGTATTCTTCTTACTTTGCTTTTTTCAGTCAATGTTTTTATGAGATCTATCCATTTTTATCCTTGAAACCTAAGGTGGTTCATTTTCCCTGCTCTATTCCGTTTTGTGACAGTACCACAACTTATTTACTCACCCTTCCGTTGATGGAGACAGTTTTCAGTTGTTCGCGCTCACAAGCAGTGTTATTTTGCACATTCGTCTGGACTATCCTGGTGTTCTTGAGAGTTTCCAGGATATATTTCTATGACTTTTACTAGTTACAGCTAAATTATTCTCTTAAAATATTTCTGTCTCATTTCTAGTTCAGTGTTCATGGGTGGGTGATTTTTAATCTCTCTGGGCCTCGGTTTTCCCACCTATAAAATGGGAATAGCATCTTTCACATGGGGTGGTAAGAGATTTAGGGATGTTGCCTGGACAAGGTTTGTGTGTACTCCCGGCACACGGTGGGTGCTTGGTAAATGGTGGCTGATGCTACTGCTTATCCTGGGACTGGAGGGGCTTTCAGAAAACTTCTTCCTACCAGTTGTTTTCCCTTTTTGCCTTCTTAGCTCCTATTATAACAGCCTGGAAGCCCAGACTCTCCAGTTGGAGGTGAGGGGTCAGCTAATTTAAACTCCCACCCATAGCAGGTGTCCCCAGTTCTATCCAGGTGCTCACCTCCTCCTGCCTATGCGGCCCTCGGGACTGCACCCCCATCTCAGTGCTTCCTGGGGAGTGCTCAGAGCGGTGGGGGCAGCGTTCTGGCTCTGGAGTCCTTTGGCTTCGGGCCCAGCTCTGCCGTTTCCGACCGTGATCTCAGGCAGCTGAATTCACTTCTCCCAGCCTCAGTCTCTTGGTCTATGAAATGGGCATGGTGACAGTGCCTGGCTCCATAGGGTGGGGGATTTGCTGTGGTCACATGCTAGTCTGTGTAGAGTCCCCCAGAGGCTCAGAGGGCGTCATGGCCTATCCTTTGGATCCCCGGTCCAGGCTTTGGTCCTGTGTTCTTTGCCTCTTGTTGCTGGAGAAACCACAGTGCTGTCTTCTTTTAGTTTCTGGGTCCCCGGGAAATTTCGGGACCAGGGAGCCCTTTTCTCTTGGCCTGTTAGGGTGAACTGAGAGACTAAAATGGAAAGAGGAGTGAGCCTTCTTCTAGGGGTACTTGTTCAGGTGCCCGGGAGGAAGGATAGAGATGGTTCACAAAGACACAGCCCAGTGCGAAAGTGGGCAAGGGTGTGAGCAGACAGTCTGGGGAAGGGGAAGCCTAAATGGCTAAATAAGCATGAGAGTTATTTAATAATTCAGTAATTAGGGAAGTGCGAATTAACAGAAGGGTTCATGCTGGCAAGACTGGCAAGAGGTAAAGGCTGGCTACTGCCCGGTGCTCTCACATCCTGCTTGAAGGTGTGTGAGTCAGTGCAGGCATTATGCAGGGCATGTCAGCTGTCACAAATCACAAACCTTCTGGCCCAGCCATTCTTACCCTTTGTATCAGTCCTGGAGAGACACTGTGGTATATGCTCAACATGTCTATTGCTGCAGTATTTTACTGTTGCAAAACCTGGTATTTATTGTTGCAAAACCCCGGAGCCACCTTATTGTCCAAAAGTTATGGGGAGAGGTTAAAAATACCACTGCATTTTATGGAGAAGGAAATGGCAACCCACTCCAGTATTCTTGCCTGGAAAAATCCATGGGCAGAGGAGTCTGGCAGGCTGAAGTCCATGGGATTACATGACTGAGCATGTGTGCAGAGGGTGGAGGGAGATGGGTTGGTAGCAATAAACTGGTAGAACTAAAAAAAAAAAAAAAACCACTGCATTTTAGAGACAGAAAGCAGACTAGGAGTTGGGGAATTCCCTGGTGGTCTAGTGGTTAGGCCAGAGAAGGCAATGGCAACCCACTCCAGTACTCTTGCCTGGAAATCCCATGGACGGAGGGGCCTGGTAGGCTGTAGTCCATGGGGTCGCTACAAGTCAGACATGACTGAGCAACTTCGCTTTCACTTTTCACTTTCATGTGTTGGAGAAGGAAGTGGTAACCCACTCCAGTAATCTTGCCTGGAGAATCCCAGGGACGGGGGAGCCTGGTGGGCTGCCGTCTATGGGGTCGCACAGAGTCAGACATGACTGAAGTGACTTAGCAGCAGCAGCAGCAGCAGCCAGTGGTTAGGACTTGGCACTTTCACTGCCGGGGCCAGGGTTCAGTCCCTGGTCAGGGAACTAAGATCCTGCAAGTCATGCGGCATGCCACCCCAGCCTACCTCTACACATTAAAAGCACAGATTGGGGGTTTCTGGGGGCAGGGAGGAAGAGAAAATGGAGACTGACTGCTTGACAGGTGCGGGTTTCTTTTTAGGTGATGAAAAAATTCTGAAAGTAGATAGTAGTGGGTCTTCCTGGTGGCTCAGACAGTAAAGAATCCTCCTGCAATGTAGGAGATCTGGGTTCGATATCTGCGTTGGGAAGATCCCCTGGAGGAGGGCATGGCCACTCCAGTATTCTTGCCTGTAAAATTCCATGGACAGAGGAGCCTGGCAGGCTATATAGTCCATAGGGTCACGAAGAGTCGGACACGACTGAGCGACTAATACTTTCACTTTTCTCTTTCAGATGGTAGTGAGTTACACAGCATTGTAAATGTACCATATGCACTGAATTTTACACTTAAAAATGGTGGCAAAGTTTGTTATATTTTACCAAATATACCAAAAACTATTGAATTGTACATTTTAAATGGATGACTTGTATCTGAATTTATATCTCAATAAATGTGTTTTTTAAGAATCCAGTTATAGACAGAATTATAGTATGGTATCATTTTGGTAAAATTATGCATTAATTCCTTCCCACCCCTCACCTCCCAAAAGATAGTTCTCTAGGTGTAGCTCTGTGTAAATGCAGAAAGAAAGGACGGGCAGGACAGTCACCAAACTCGCCACTGGAGGACTGGGTTTGGAGGTGGGGAGAGGGGTTCATTAAATATTTTATGATGAGTATATAATTCATTGCTTCCCTCATGAGAAATATAATTTTCAGGAAAGGAATAGGATCTAGAGGAAGTAGACATCTCAGTTTATTGGTTAACGAGTGGGCTTTTCCTGCCTTCCCTTAAAGGATTCCGACAGACTGATGGAACAACAAGGGACACTATTGAAACGGCTGGCGGAGGCGGACTCTGAGAAAGCGGTAACACACAGCGCCCCCTGCCAGCCAGAGCGGGTATAGGCGACAGCATAGAGGTGCTGAGCAGCTGCAGAAGGGCTGGAGCCCTGCTCTGATATTTTTGGGGGGTCTTAGTTTCATGATCTGTAAAAAATATGGAGCAGATATTCTCATCCCTCCTGCTCCACCGGGCTTGTCTAGCTGCTCACTTGAGAGCTTGAATCACCAAGTTGGACTCCAGCCTGAGGGATGGTGATGGTGGTGATGGATTTGTAAGCCATCAGTTTGTTCTCTGAATTTCCTTGTTTGTATTACGGTGTAGACTTCTTGACCCCAAAATTCCAGTTCTCCCAAGGAATCTCTGCCAAGGCAGCATGTTCCAAAGTCTGTTCCATGGAAACCTGAGTTCCTCAAGTGTTAATGGGTATAAGAAACAAAAGAGGGGAGGAGTGATACATGGCCAAATAAATATGGGAAACTACTGACCAGCCTGAATGGCACATTCAACAAGCTGTTTAACTTCAAGACTTTCTGGAGCATTAGACGTATTAATGTCTGTTGTGAGGTTTTGAGACAGAAAGAAATAGAGACCATGATTCCCAAGGTTTGGCCCTTGGTGCCTGGCTGAACATCACTAGGATTCAGCAGTCATGGTGATAATGCCTGAATGTGCATTCCCAGCTCGAGAGCCTCGTCAAATTATGATACATCAGTAAATGGAAATACTAAGTGCTTTATCAAAAGATACATATTTAATCACACTATGGTAAACATGGTTATACAGCAAAATATGTACTTGGCTTTCTAGTCTGTGTTAACAGTGGTTATCTCTGGGTGGGAGATTGTGGATATTCCTTAGTGTTTTTTGTGTGTGTCAGTATTTCCCACAGTTAACATTATTTTAAATTGTTATAAAAAAAAATTGTGATACAGATGTTAGGTGCTTCCTGCTCGATCTCTGTGACATGGGCCAGTGTCTTTGGGACTTGAGCCCAGTGGCCAGGCACTCACAGGAGTCTTGTCCTCTCTGGGCTGAGCCTCCTCTCCCTTCCCAGGGAGCTCATGACAGTCTGTTCTCCCCAGCGCCTGCTATTACTGCTCCAAGACAAAGACAAAGAGGTGGAAGAGCTTCTCCAGGAAATACAATGCGAGAAGGTACCATCCCCAACAGTCCCTCCTCCGTATGGGCCGGGAGAGTGCGCTCTTCCAGCTCGTGGGTAGAGTATGCTCTGGAATTGCAGAGCTGGGTTCAAATCCTGGCTCTGTCACTTTCTCCGTCTCTCCAAAGGCTCAAGCAAAGACAGCATCTGAGCTTTCCAAGTCCATGGAGACCATGCGGGGGCATTTGCAAGCACAGCTTCGGTGCAAAGAGGCAGAGAACAGTCGCCTGTGTATGCAGATCAAGGTACCGGCTTGGCCCCACCGGTGGGAAAGGGAGAGGGCGGGGCTTGGCAGTCCAGGGACCGTGGCCTGGCCAAGGCGCTCACATTCAGGATTTGCCCCCAAAGGTTTGGGGGGGGGGGGGCTGCTGCCAAAGCACTCTGAGCCAGTGGCAAGGGACACTCTGGGCCAGGGGCAAGAGCAGGGGTTTGGGTGTTCTTCCCAGCAGTGACCAGTGGGTGCCGTGCTCCTGAGCCAGTCACGTAATCCCTTAGGCCTCCAGTTCTCCTCACTACCCATGGGGTGGGTAGGGGGAAGGGGGTGGGCTGATGTCTTTGAGCCAGGGACCCTCTAAGGTCACAGCTCTGCTGAGTAACTGAGGAATATCTCTGACTACTGTACTGGGAGTTCAGGGAAGGATGCCAGAAGAGTTCTATCTTAACACCAAGACCCAGCGGGTTCCGTAATGGGAGAGGTGCTTTGGGGAGCTGGGCAGGGCCCTCACATCTCTGGTCTGTATCACCTCCGACACAGTTGACCTGATTTCTGTCTCCCTCATTCCTCCTTTGTGCTGCCCGCCACCACACCCTCCCCGGACTTCTTGTCTCTGCTCCACCATTGTCCCTGCCTCCCAGAACCTGGAGCGCAGCGGGAACCAGCACAAGGCAGAAGTGGAGGCCATCATGGAGCAGCTGAAGGAGCTGAAGCAGAAGGGGGAGCGAGACAAAGAGTCCTTGAAGAAAGCCATCCGAGCCCAGAAGGAGAGAGCCGAGAAGAGCGAGGAGTATGCCGAGCAGCTGCACGTGCAGCTCGCCGACAAGGTGGCGGCCTCCCCGAGGAGGGGACGGGTGGGGCGGTAGATGGGCAAGAAGCGGCTGCGCGGGTGGAGGCGGAGAGCTCCAGAGAGGTGGCTGGGCGGGCAAATGCAGAGCTGCATGGCAGCCGAGGGGGTGAATGAGCTGGGAGGACGGCTGGCTGGCTGGCTGGCTGGAGGAAGAGGCAGTCAGGGAGTAAACAGCTTAAAGGGTGGTGATGGGGGAGGGCGGCTGGCTGGAGACAAGTGGAGGGTTTGTGGGACATTCTAACCACATCAGTATCTCGGGTGGGAATGATGGTTGTGGATTTGCAGTCAATGTGCGTGTGATGCTGGAAACTGAAAAGTAGCATCTGGCTGCTGCTTTAGTCTCAGCACTTCTAGAAAGGAATCGCAGGAGTGGGGTTATCAGGGGTTATCATGTTATCAGGGTGAGGGGTGTGGCCTGGGATGGCCGTCGGCTCCCTGGGCCTCTGTGCTGACACCTGACCGACGGACCCTGTCTACTGTCCCGTTCCCAGGATCTTTATGTCGCTGAAGCTTTGTCCACTCTGGAGTCATGGAGGAGCCGCTATAACCAAGTTGTAAAAGACAAGGGAGACCTTGAGCTGGAAATTATTGTCCTGAACGAGTATGTCTGTTGAGGAGAGGGCATGGGACCGATTGGAGGAGGGGGTGAGCCGGTGCGTGGTGCCAGGCATCCTGAGGCAGCTCATGTGGGTCACATGGGTGCCGTCTGGTCTCCTCTGGTCCAGGGCCGCATTGGACTGGCCCTGAGGTAGGCCCTGGTTCCAGCCCTGTCCCAGGGTCCTAGCCCCTGGTGAGCAGTATGGACGGGCCTTCTCTGCTCATACCTGGGCCAGAGCGGGGCCCTAACCTGCATGGCAGAGAAACAGGCCCAGCCACAGTGGTATCCTCCTTCCAGTTCTTGGGGGACAAGGCAACTGGTTTCTGCCTTTGTCCTGTCTTCTCTCAGCTTCTCTTTGTCTCTGCCAGTCAGTAGGTCAGAGGTATGGCCTGGGAGTAGGGGGCAAAAGTGGCCTTAAGTTGAAGGTGACTGAACACACCTTCCTTGTCACTGGTGAACTATCAACAGTTCAGCCGTATTCATGTGTTCATTCATTTGTTTATTGAGCAACTACTATGTATTAGGCTGTGTGTTGGCCTTTAAGATTACAGCAGTTAAAAAACAAATGCATTCCCTTCCCCATGGAGTTAACCGTGTACTGCAGCAGGAGACAGGGCTACAGAGACCTGGACTCCCTAGGCTAAGGGGTCACAGGGGAGCTAACTTGGTCTCTAGGTCAGGAATGTTTTGCCTGAGGAATACCTTTGGTTGTTTTCAACTCAATTTGGCAAACATATCCTGGGAAACACGCTAAATGCCGGGCCTTATGCCAGGCACTATCCTTGGGATTCTCCATCTAGTGGGAGAAAATGGATAGTTAAGGCAGAAGGATCTGAGGTACAGACGAAAGGGATCAAGGAAGACATATCCTGAGGTGGGATGTAGGAACCGGGTTTTTCAAGTTGAGCGGGAGTTTGCAGGTGAAGCAATACAATGCGTTTGCTTGGGCCTAGTCAGTACTTAGAAAACATTTGCTGAATGGCAAACTATAATTTCTCAATACTCAGAGCACATGCTGTGCAAAGGCACAGTGGTGGATCTGCAGTCAAGAGCCCCCAGGCTCGTCCGAGGCCTCAGACTCTGTTTTTGGATTAGCGCCCCTGCCAAGGGCCTCAGGGTGGGGGAAGGGGACTAGGGCGGGGAGGGGGAGCCAGGTGCCTTTGTACTGCTTTGTGGCGCCTGCCCTCACCTGAGGGAGATGGAACCCCAGTGTGATATGTGTGTGAGGAAGATGGATGCCTGGGGGTACCCCTGACCACTGAGCATAGGAGTGCTGTGCTGACTTCAGTTCCTGATGGGCTAAGAGATCAGGAACTGCTGTGGGGAGCTGGGAAGGGACTGCATTCGTGGCCCTTGTCTTTAGGGAATGTCTCAACCTTGTGGGACGACCAGAACAGAGAAGGCTTCTTGGAGGGAGTGGTAAGGGAGGCAGACCTTAAAGACTGTTTTATGAAAGTGGGCTACCTGAGAACGCCACGGGTACCAATGCAGGGGCAGCTGCTCTTTGCAGTGGAAACTGGGAGCGGGCCGGGTACCAGGGAGAGGGACACGGGTGACCTGGAAAGGAGCCCCAGGCCCCACTCCACACAAAGACGCAGGCTGCTCACAGCCCGCGGGGTTGATTGTGTCTGCTTTCGCTTTGTGACCTTCCAGCCGGGTGACAGATCTCGTAAACCAACAACAGACCTTGGAGGAGAAGATGCGGGAAGACCGGGACAGCCTGGTGGAGAGACTACACCGGCAGACCGCCGAGTATTCCGCATTCAAGCTAGAGAACGAGAGGCTGAAGGTGGGTCGTGAGAGCCCGGCCTGGAACACTCGGGTAGAGAGCAGACGGCTGGGTACTTCTGGCTGGGCCCGGAGATGACCACTGGGGCCTCCCAAGGGCATGGAGGCAGCAGTGGGCTAAGAGGGCTTCCTCTGGAGTCGGGGAGACCGAGATTCAAGTCCTGACCAAACCTTATAGAGCTGCAGGACCCAAACAGGATGTCTGCCACGCCGTTGCTGCAGTATCATTAGGGGGAGGAAGTGAGGTCTGTGTGGGGGGTGCCCCACGTGACACTCAGCCTGTGCACGTGAGGTAGATCTGACCTTGAAGTTAACACTGATGCTCCTGCCGCACTGCTGGGATCATCCACGTGCATTCACTCTCACTGTAACCTCCCAATAATGTGATAATTACTCCACTTTCTAGAATAAGGAGACCTCTTAGAGCGAGTTTAAGTTTCTTGCCAAGATTCTGCCCTTGGAAGTATTGGGAGTTCGGATTTGAACTTCAGTCTGACCCTGGGGCTATAACCACTAGCTTTTAACCACTCGCTCTACACCCTCCAGCAACCCTGTGGTGAGAGGCACAGAACAGAGGTTGACACTGCAGAGCCAGGTTGATCTTGCTTTTTAACCGATCTGGGCAATAATGTCTTTTTTTTTACTGATTTTTGTTAAGTAACATAGATTTAAGGAAGTATAATACAGAAAGGTACACAAAACAGACATACTTTGTCCACCAGTCGCCCCGATGGAACCTTAAAGCCAGCCACCCTGGTGACCTCACCTAGTTACAGACACCCCCTGCTAACGGAGCGGTTATCCTGACTTCTGTCACTCCAGATGAGTTGGCCCGGTTTTGAGCTCTGAGCCTGGCCCTTGTGGCTCTTCCTCGGCATTCTGTTTGTGGAAGTTATCCACATCGTGTGTGGTGGTCCATCCTTCTCTGTGCTGCGCATTTTGCCATCGCAGGAATTACACCACGACATGTTTATCCATTCTGCTGTCGATGGACGCGTGGGTGGTACAGCTTCCTATACCTTGAAATAGAAATGCTCGGTCAATAGGTGGTACATTGACCTTTGGTAGATGTCAGCAAACAGTAAAGCAGTTGTACAGATTTCCACTCTTATCAGGGTGTATGAGAAGTTTGCTCCGTGTCTCCTCAGCAACACTTGGTATTGTCCACCTTTTTCATTTTAAAAAGGTGGGAGAGCACTAGTGTGTCATTGGTTGCAGTGCAATTGTTGCATAAATGACAGACAACCCCACCTCTAACAGTTAACTGGGGTGATGTTTGAAGGATTGTATGTCTGTGTGGCGAAATACAGTGTGGCTCTTCAAAATGTTTGTAGAAGTATATTTCCCTAGACATTAATTACAAAGGTAATCATAAGTACACAGGTAAAATATGCTTATATTTGAAAACATCACAGAAATGTGATAGCAGAACTGAAGGTCTCTGTTAACCATAGTATGTGCATTTATTCCAGTTTTTTTACCCTGATATTAACTTGCATATTCAAACATATGCACATTCGTTCATCCATCTGTTATTCTGCAGCTTGATTTTCCCACTCAACCTTATTTCATGGATATCTTTTTTTTCTTTTGCTTTCTTTCTTTTAAATGAGTGCTTATTATTTTATTGAGATACCATGACTTTATTTTGTCCCATCTGCTAAGGTGGGCATTGGGCATTGGGTTATAGAACATTTATTGATGAGAGAAGTAGTTCTCAACACACTTGTTAATTGAAGAGTTTGTTGCAAAGCACTGGATATAATATAATGCCATGCTTATTGGGAAAAATAAAATATCTACACAGCTATCAATATATGGCCATATACTAAGGAATCATGATTTGTTTTTCTGGGTTTTATCTCCATTTTCTTTAATGATAATGTGCTGTCTTTTTTCTTGTTTTTTCCTTTGTTTTGGTCATGCTACGAGGAATTCGGGATCTTAGTTTCCTAAAAATGGATCAAATCCTGGCTCCCAGGAGTCAAAGTGCTGAATCCTAACCATGGGACTGCCAAGGAATTCCCAGTAATGCATTGCTTTTGTAATAAGAACAGAAAAACATGGGAATCTCTTATTTTCATCTATCTTCACTTGAGTGGGTCATATCAGGAGCCCCGCCCTGGTGCCTCTCTGCAGAAACCTGCTGGCAGGGGTCGAGAGGCTTCCCTTTGCCAGCCTCTCAGAGTAGGAGCCAGGGATTGGTTTGGCCACCTGCTCCGGGACCTTTCCTACTGGTTACCTTTAACCTGGTTCCCTTCTAGGCTAGCTTCGCCCCAATGGAGGACAAGCTCAACCAGGCGCACATCGAGGTCCAGCAGCTGAAGGCATCGGTTAAGAACTACGAGGGAATGATTGACAACTATAAGAGTCAGGTAGGCCGTCTGGTGCCAGCGGCCCTGCCAGGGCAGCAGCGCCTCCTACTATGGAGGGAGGTTCACCCCAAGGCCTCCCCTCAGAAAGGTGTTTTTTTTATTTTTTCACCAAAACTTGGCTCTACCCAATGCTTTGTTGGTCCACAGGTGATGAAGACCAGACTGGAGGCTGATGAAGTGGCTGCCCAGCTGGAACGCTGTGACAAAGAGAACAAAATCCTTAAAGATGAGATGAACAAAGAGATTGAAGCGGTATTGCTCCCCGTGCTCGCCTTCTTCCCCTCCCAGTCCTGGGCCTGCAGTCTGTCCCTCCTGTCTGCCCTTGACGCTTCCGATGTGCTTCTCATCTCTTCTTTCTCTCTCCTGCTTCCTCATTATGAATACTCTTTCTCATCCCAGTTTTCCTTCTTCGTTTTCCTAAAAAAAAAATTTCCCCTGCTTGGAACATTCAGGTGGAACCACAGATCTGCCAGGCCGTAGGTGTGCCTGCTGCATGCATTCTGTGTGATGTCTTTATTTTGTGCCAGCCAAAAAATTGCCTCCTGTCCCCTTCCCCCCAAAAAAGCATTATTCTTCTAGAGACAGCTTTGCTGTCTGAAAGCAAAGGGATCATCTTAATAGTGACCTTGGAGACAGATTGAGTCCAGGCTCAGCCAGTACCTGGCTGCATATCCTTGGACACATCACCATCCCTCTGCAGTCCTCAGGCTCCTCCTTAATACAAGGATGGGTGAAGACCAGATAGGTGATAGCTTTCCCTCTGACCCAGAGCATTGTGACTGCCTTCCTAGGAGCTTTTGGGTTACACTAGACTTGAATCCTGGCTCTGCCAGTTTCTAACTGAGGGACCTTGGGCAAATGACCCTTTGATCTTCAGAGTCCTTAGGTGGGGCCAGCAGCACCTACTGCGTGAGTTGTATCAATTCAGGGAGTAATGCCTGGGTCCTGGAGTTTGTTAAATGATCGCCATTATTCAATGAGTGAAGGAGCAGCAGGCTGCAGTCACCACATGGCCAAATGTGTCCCCCCAGAGAACAGTTAAGATGTCTTTAGTGGCCTGCCGGGAGGCTGCACTTCTGCCCATGGGCCTTGCAGAATCCTTTCCAGGGGACTGAGGGCAGCCTTGCCCACACTCCCAAGGAGTTTGTTTGGTTGCTGCGGCCGCCAGGCCCTTCCCAACCATGGGTTCCTCTCTCCCACTCCAGGCGCGGAGGCAGTTCCAGTCCCAGCTGGCTGACCTACAGCAGCTGCCCGATATCCTTAAGATCACAGAGGCTAAGCTGGCCGAGTGCCAGGACCAGCTGCAGGGCTATGAACGGAAGAACATTGACCTCACAGCCATCATATCAGACCTGCGCAGCCGGGTAAGGGACTGGCAGAAAGGGTCCCATGAACTGGCCCGAGCAGGGGCCCGCTTACCAAGATGAGCTGCACGCGCGCCCACCCCACCCCCCCCAAGGGAGGACCACTTCTTTTTCTTGGCTGCCGCTTTCTGAAAGGAGTGAGCTATCATCAGTGCTGTGAAATAAAAGTCTGGTGTGCCAAATGCCTTGTGTTTGCACAAAGTGATTGTAGTTATAGGAGCTGCCGGGCGCTCCTGCTCTCGCCGCTCCCCGAGTGCTCCAAGTCTCCGCCGGCCTCTGCCCTTCAACGCTCCGCTGCTGTCTTCAAGCCTCGTGCCTCCAGTGGACACCAAGCCATAGGTTTTCTTTGTCTCCGTCTTTCTCTTGCTTTAGCTGCCTTTCCCTAGTCTGACTAGACCCCTTGCCTGAGCTTCTGTCCCAACAGAGGACTGCTTTTCTCCCAGAGGCAATCTGCCTTTGGGTGCCTGGAACCAAGCCGGCGAGGTCTAAGAGATGGTACGCTTCTCATCTGCACTGTGACATTGGGTGAGACCCTTCCCTTCTCTACACCTGCTTCCTCGCAGTAACAGTGGAAGTAGCTGCCATTTTTTGAGCACATGCTCTGTGCTCCAGCATTCTCTCATTTAATTCTCCCAGGAACTTTGCGAAGGGTCTTATTTCCCCCAGTGTACAAAATGCAGCCGAGGGCAGAGAGGGGGAGAAGTCATTTCCTGAGGTCACAGAGCTAATGCTTGTCAGCAGGGACTGGAAGCCAGCCAGCTCCGTCTGGTTCCCAAGCCCATGGTCTGAGTACGTTAAATCACCTGCCTAGTCTTGAACCTGAGTGTTCTCAGGGCCTTTCAGGCCCGGATTTCTGAGTCTTCTGGATAACTTCTCAAACCTGCCAGTCTGAAGGACTTGATAGATTTCCTGTGGCCTTGCTTGCACTGGTCCCCAGTTAAGGGGAATGACATCAGCGGTCCCACCAACGTCCTTGGTAAAGCTCGGTAGTGGGTTGCGTGGACCAGTTAGGCCTGCTGTCTGCTTCTGCCTTCTCATGTCTGCCCAGATCCTACTGACTGGCCTCTCCTGAACCAGAATGTGTCATCGTGGCTCTTCAGGATCGAAGCTGGCTTCTCAGTGTGGGAGAGCCTTCGGTCTCGGGGGTCGGGCCTAACCTGTCCCCACTCTCCTCTCTCCTCCAGGTTGTACGTTGAGACTTGGATGCCTGCTGAGGGCAGCACGCCTCTCTCCTGGGTGTGGATGACAGGTCACAGGGATAAGGGAGGGCTGTACCTGGAGGTTCTTTAGTAAACCAGTCTGTGTTCCTGTCATTTTAGATCGAACACCAGGGGGACAAGCTGGAGATGGCGAGAGAGAAACATCAGGCTTCCCAGAAGGAAAATAAACAGCTGAGTCTGAAGGTGGATGAACTGGAGAGGTTAGAGGCACTTGGTCCGATCTCTGTCCTCTTCCTAGGACCTGAGACTTTTCTGCCACTTAGCTGCTTTGGGCTCAGTGTGCAGAAATGTTTGAGGGACTCGAGGCCCTGGAAGGTACTAGGCAGACCTCAGAGGAAAAGCTGTTTTCACCGCAGTGGTAAGCATTGTGGGAGAGAGGAAGGTGGTCTCTGGCCAGGGGGGATGCTCCATGACAGTGTGATCAAGATCAGACCACCCAGTGGTGGTCCACTGGTTAAGACTCCGCGCTTCAGAGTGCCTGGGTTTGATCCTTGCTCGGGGAACTAAGATGTTACATGCTGAATAGTGTGGCCAAAAAGTAAAAAAGAAAAAAAGGATCAGACCACCCATAGGCACCACCTATCAGAAAGGCATGCTTTATCCAAGCAAACCAGCAGTGCCAGGTGCTGCAGCGGGGACACTCCCCCGCATTCTGCTTTTTGTTCCTGGTCACCCTTCCCAAGACCTTTCTGATCTATTCCCTGTTACTTACAGACTATTGGAGGCAGTCAGGTAAAGAGTTCACATTTTGGAATCAGAATCTCTGGGCTTTGATCACAACTTGGCCACTTTACCTGCATTGTGATCTTGAGCAAATCACTTGATCCTTTTGAACCTCATCACCCTGTTTACTCATCTTGAGAAAAGGACCAAGGTAGGGAGAACAGCCCAGTTCTTGGGGTTGTTGTGGATCTTCCACGAGATAATCCTCAGAGGGCATAGCGTGTTACCTGGTGTACAAAATCACGCCATATAGGATAGTCTATATGAGTTTATTATCTCCATTTTAGATACAAGGAAACTGAGCTTGGGGAGAGGTTAGATGACTTGCCCAAGATCACATAGCTGGTACTTGGCAAAGCTGTGACTTAGCCTGTCTTCCTCCAGAGCTTTTAGTGTTCATAAAATGAGGGCTGGAGCCCTCGTTTCAGTGATGAAAGACTTGGGGAATCCCAGGAGGCTGCAGTTGGCCCACCTGGCTCACACAGCCTGCCAGCAGGGACTTTAAGCAAGTGGTCTCCCCTGGGCTCCACCTCTACTCTGCTGGCCTCAAAGATGCAGCTGGAAAGTTTAGGGCTTACAGAACTCCTGAGATTGGACGGTGTTCTGGAAGTGCAGCAGGGACCACGTGTGCACACGAGATGGTCACTGCTGCCCCATGGCTGGTCACAAATGATGTTGAGTGGTCCAGCTGAAGTCCCTTTGCTGAGGGTGGCAGCAATGAAGAAGTGGGGTGGTGGGGGGGGGTGCGGGGCATGGGTTTTGGTGACAGACCTACCAGCTGTGGTGACCTTGAGTCAATAACTTCGCCTCTCTGTGGCTCAGTTGCTTCATTTGTAAAGTGGGGATCAGAATGGAACCCACATTCCTGAGCTGCAAGCTGCTGTGTTACATGTGATGACATACGTACGTGGCACAGCCTGTGCTTGCTTCTCCCACTCTCCATACAGCTTCTTGCCGTCATGATGATCAGCAGATTTCTTTGATTTATTCCTGTTATTCCCTGGAGATTCTTGGTGTGATGTGAACCCCGGTCCAGCGTGGCTGGCAGCCCCCGGCCGTGTGGAACAGGACACATAGTGGGATGGCAGACTCTTGACTGAGTGCTTTCACCTAGGAAATTGGAGGCGACCAGTGCCCAGAATATCGAGTTCCTACAGGTGATTGCCAAGAGGGAGGAGGCAATCCACCAGTCCCAGCTGCGACTGGAGGAGAAAACACGGGAATGTGGAACCCTGGCGAGGCAGTTGGAGAGCGCCATTGAAGACGCCAGGAGGCAGGTCAGTCTCACATCTGTTGTTAAGTAGTTCTCTGTCTTTGGGCACATTGCTTAACTTCTCTGAGCCTATCTCCGCATCTGAAAAATGGGCATTTTGTAGTAGTACCTGCTCCCACAGATTCATCATAAATGATTGTAAAGCAGTTGGCACTGGATTCACAACTGCTCCTGTCATTGCTGCCGGTGTGGGCCTCAGACAGGTGTCCCACATCTGAGGTGGTGACTCATGGAGCGTTGGCAAAAGCCAGGTGAAGCAGGCTTGCAGAAGTTGTCTCCGTAGCTAGCTCCTGCCCTGAGGCTCCAGAAACCCCCACAGTGAGACTGGCTCGTGGGAGCGGCCCAGCCTCTTCTTTACCAGATGTGCCCCGTGTCAGGTAAGCCAGCCCCACCTCTCTGCTTTCTGGGCAGGTGGAACAAACCAAGGAGCACGCAGCCTCCAAGGAGCGCGCAGCCCAGAACAAAATCCTGGACCTTGAGACCCAGCTGAGCAGGACCAAGACTGAGCTCAGCCAGCTGCGGCGGAGCCGGGACGATGTGAGTCTTGCTGGGGGTAGGGGGTGAGAGAAGACAAGAAGGGCGTGGGTTGAGGTTTGAGCTTCCTGGGGCCCGCAGGGCATGGGCATGGGCAGGCCTCGGTGTTCTGTTGTTTTTATGAATATGACATGGTTTTATTTTTCTCCCATCACTTTCCCATCCCTTCAGGATATTCCAGGCCCATCCCCTTTTTATTACCAGCTTTGTTAAAACGACATTTACATAAAACTCTCTCATTCAGATTGTACAATTCAGTGGTTTTGAGTACATTCTGAGTTGTGCAGTTATCACCACAATCCAGGTTGAGAATATTTTCAGAAAGAAAATGACCCATTAGCAGCCACTCCCATTCCCCCTGCCCTCATCCCCTGGCCTTTGGGGTTGGTCTGTTCTGGGCGTTCCACACACTTGGCCCCTGCCCTGTTCCTCCTCTCAGGCTGATCGCCGCTACCAGAGCCGTCTGCAGGACCTGAAAGACCGCCTGGAGCAGTCGGAGAGCACCAACCGCAGCATGCAGAACTATGTCCAGTTCCTCAAGTCGTCCTACGCCAATGTGTTTGGGGATGGTCCCTACACTTCCTACTTGACCAGCTCTCCCATCCGCTCCCGGTCTCCTCCTACCTAAGCCGCTGCTCTTGGGCTAGGAGCTCAGATGAATGCTGTGGCAACAGAGGTGTCGCTAAGCCATACCTGGAAAGCCTGTTGGTTTTCCTCTCTCTTCCTGAGATGAAGTATGTTCAGGATCTTGTCTTAGCCACTAACTCCAGAAAAGTGCCTCGAGCAGCAGGGGATGGAGCCGAACCCACTTAGTTCTCTCCTCTCCGATAGCATCACCTGATGGAAATTTCTAATTACCCCAACAGGCCTTAAAGCCACTACTATTAGGGTCAGGTTTTAACTCACTGTGATTGGCTCTTTCGTTTCTCAAGAGAATGTCTGGCCTGGACTTTCCCTCCAGACCCTTTTACAGCTCTCTTCTTTTTTAGGGCTCTCTCTCTCTCTCTGGTTTTCCCTGACCCAAACCAGCAGGAGCTGTTAGGCAGAGGTCCTCACTGCGCCGCATGTTCATGCGCTGGTTTCCTCATTGCATGGGTACGGTGTCCTCTCCAAGGTGCTCCCCTTCCACCTGTGGCCAAGTTTCCTCAAGGCCACTTGCCCTCATGCACTTCCCTACAGACACTCGAGGGCTTATGCTTTACAAGTTCGCCTTGTAAAATTACGATCCCAATCTCACTGATTTTTCTCTTGGCTAGGTTTGTGTCTGTGGAATGCATTTATTCTTGAAATGTGTGTGTTTTACAGAAAGCTTTTATAATCAATATTTAAGGTTCCATAGGATGGTCTCCTTTAACCACATGATCCCTCTTCTAAAAATGATTCAGTGAAACTCTGCAGAAGAGCCAGTTAACGTTTTTTAAAGGACGTGGTACATGGAACATTAGACTATTTCATTTTGACTGGGTTGGCTCTTTCTCCTCTGCGTGCTTTCACTTTGCAATCCCATGAAAGGACCGGAGGAGATACATGGTAAGGTGCTGCTCGGTGTGTGAGGGCAGATGACTTTAGCTGTTAGGAGGAAGATGGGCTGTGTCTGTCTTACCATTTTTTAAATGTTCATTGCTTTCTGAAAGATGATGGGTTATTTTTGTCCTCCTCACATGTTCCTGTATTTAAAAGAACAATATATTCTTTAGAGAGAAGAGAACACACTTGGTGTTCTCTGCTGAATCCTAACCTTTCCATTCAAGATGGTATTGGCCTCTGGGTGATCCAGTCTAGTCCCCTCTCAGCCACTCTAACCCAAGTCCAAACCTCTGGAGAATTCCCCTGTGTCCCCAAAAGCAGTGGTCCCACACAGGCATCTGGATTGCACTCCCAGAACCGCACCCCTCCCCACCCCCCCAGTTTTGGAGACGTTTGTAGTTTCCAGCTTTCAGTGGTTTGTTTTTGTTTGTTTTCTTCTTAAATTTTATCTTCAGCTTTTAATTTTGCCAAGGAAGGTCCCTGAAATTACTACCAACAGCTACCATTTCCACGAAACCATGCCTATTTTCACATCTTTAACATAGACTTGAACTTTCATACAATGTATGAAAGATCTTCCTAAGAAAAGATAGTTGATAAACTTACACCAATGTGCATACATTTCTGTATAACTCATCATTATCATCAAGCTAATGATAACCCCCTCAGTGCAGGATTCTGCTATCTGTGGTGATGCTGTAGGAACACCTCTCTTTGAGTTCATGGCTGGGATTCTCCCAACAATGTTCTGTTTTTCTTTGTAAAATATTGTATTACAAAAAGTCCAGAGAGTTTGTAGAAATGAAAAATGTTTATATTGCTTCAAACTCGAGAGTTTTCCTTTCTGCCTCAAAGAGACCCTATGAAATGGGCAAAAGGGTCAAAAGTTAGTGTCCTAGTTAAAGCTAGCCTTAGGCAATGATGAGCTTTTCATTTATTGAGATAGATTTAATTCACTCTTTTAAGGTATATAATTCAGTGGTTTTTAATATATTCAAAGTTGTGTGACCACCACACACAACTTTATCTAATTCTCAAATATTTTCATCACACCCAAATGGAACTTCTTCTGAGAAGCCTGTATGCACGACAAGATGTAACAGAACTGGATATGGGACAACAGACTGGTTCAAAATTGGGAAAGAAGTACATCAAGGCTATATATTGTCACACTGCTTATTTAACTTCTACACAGAGTATATCATGCTAAATGCCGGGCTGGATGGTTCACAAGCTGGAATCAAGATAGCCAGGAGAAATATCAACAATCTCAGATATGCAGATGACACCACCCTTATGGCAGAAAGTGAAAAGGAACTAAAGAGTCTCTTGAAGATGAAAGAGGAGAGTGAAAAAGCTGTCTTAAAATTCAACATTGAAAAAACTAAGATCCAGCCCCATCAGTTGATGGCAAATAGATGGGGGGAAAGTTGAAACAGTGACAGGTTTTATTTTCTTGGGCTCTAAAATCACTGAGGACCGTGACTGCAGCCATGAAATTAAAAAATGCTTGCTCTTTGGAAGAAAAGCTATGACAAACCTAGACAGCATATTAAAAAGCAGAGACATCACTTTGCCGACAAAGGTCCACCTAGTCAAAGCTATGGTTTTTCCAGTAGTCATGTATGGATGTGAGAGTTGGACTATAAAGACAGCTGAGTGCTGAAGAATTGATGCTTTTGAACTGTGGTGTTGGAGAAGACTCTCGAGAGTCCCTTGGACTGCAAGAAGATCAAGCCAGTTAATCCTAAAGGAAATCAGTCCTGAATATTCCTTGGAAAGAAAGACTGATGCTGAAAGGGAAGTTCCAATACTTTGGCCACCTGATGCGAAGAGCCAACTCATTGGAAAGGACCCTGTTGCTGGGAAAGATTGAGGGCAGGAGAAGGGGGCAAGAGAGGATGAGATGGTTGGATGGCATGTAGAAGCTTAATGCCTTGACCTGGGATGGAACACAAGCCTCCCCTGCAGTGGAAGGGCACAGTCTGCCACACTGTCTTCCACAGGAGCTGCCTTATCTTAGAGTCCCACTGGTAGTGTATGAGGATTCCAACATGTCCACAACCTCATCAAACCTATTTACTTTTCTGTGACCTATAACGCCCACCCAACTGAAGCCCCCAGGTCTAAAGTCATGGTAGGAAGCAGGAGCCACAGGCCAAGTCCTGTGCGCAGGCGCATGGGTGGGCGGGCTTGGTACGAGAGGCGGGGCCACGCAGTCGTTGGGGGCGGGGTTGGCCTGTGCGCCCCGGAAGCGGAAGGTAGGGCCTGTTTCCGGGCGGCTGATTCGAGGACTTGTTTTGTCACCAGCGGCTCATCTAAAGATCTGTAGCTGGGCAGGCCATGCCTTCTGAGGGTCGCTGCTGGGAGACTCTGCAGGCTCTGCGCAGTTCCGACAAAGGTCGCCTCTGCTACGACCGCGACTGGCTGCTGCGGGGTGAGGTGAGCAGCGGCCCCTAAGCGGCCGGCTCAGGGGCCTCTGTGCTTCCTTAGCCTTTGGCAAGCCCTCCTCCGAGGAGGCCCTGAGTTCTTTGTCACAACACGCGTCCGCTTCTTGACTCCTGTGTGTGCGTCGCCGTGTCCTAGAGTTTCTGCTGTCTCTCTCCCCACTATTTTAGCTTCTCAGGAGCTCCCCTTCAGAGATGCTCTTCTCTGAAGGCTTCACTGCTCCCCGCTGCCCAAGTTAGGCTCCTCTGCTCTGGTTGTCAAAGCAGCCCTGGCCTCTCAGGGTCAGTTTATTATTGCGCGTCTCTTGTGTTAGGAGATCCAGATTGAGCGGTAAACGGTTGTTGGTGGTGGCTGTTAAGTCGCTCACTCGTGCCTGACTGTTGGCGACTGCAGTACGCCAGGCTTCCCTGTCCTTCGCTATCTTCCGGAGCTTGCTCAGACTCAAGTCCATTGAGTCAGTGATGCCGTCCAACCGTCTCATCCTCTATCCCTTCTCTTGCCCTATCAAATTTTTAGATGACATCGGGCAAACCTGGAAACCTTAATGGGGGCGTGGTCACTGCACCTAAGATGTGCTAAGCCCCGTAACAGACCGCGCAGGTGGGAATGTCGAGATATTTAAGGCATAGCCTTTTCCCGAGTTGCTCTTAATCTAGCTACAGGTATGAAGTCTCTTTAAACGAAAATATATAGCACTTATAAAGCATTTCTCTGTTTGTCTTTGACAGTTTTAAAGACTATATATACCTTACACTCTATAGGATGAATTCCATCATGAGTCTGTTCGTTGTCGACTCAGGTTATGCATTCTTGGCAGGGATAATGCAGAAATGATGAGGTGTTCTCAGTAACTCAAATCCGTTACACATAAATGCTTCAGCCCATCCCAGCACTGGTGATGCTAAATTTATCAGTTGATCACAATGGTATCTGCCAGATATTTCCACTTAAAATTCATCATTTTCCCCTTTGTCCCCAATTAGTATTTTGTCAAACCTCCACTCTTAGCGTTTACTGGTAACTTCGCCCTTAACCGTTTCTCTGATGTGCCCAAATGGTATTAAGAGCCAGTTTTATATCTTTATTTTTGAATTGCCAGTTTATATGTCTTAGGCTCATTTTGCACGTTTTCTTGTCGGGGTTTTGCCAGTATTTTATAAGTTCTTTATGTATTAGAGATAATAATATTACTTTATCTGAGATACATATTGCATATTTTTTCTAGTTTGTCAGTTAAAATTTTTTTCTGTTTATGGTGTTTTTTGTGTGTGTGGTTTTATTTTTACATTTGAAGCATTGCTTCTGGAATTTATTTTGGTGTAAAGAATGAGAAGGAAGTTGTCTCAAATTCAACATCCATTCATGACAAAAACTCTTACCAAAGTGTGTATAGAAGGAACATATCTTAGCATAATAAAAGTTACTTATGACATACTCACATGCCAGCACAATACTTGATAGTTATAAAAAGCTGAAAAACTTCCTACTAAAATCTGGAACGAGACAGGGATGCCCATTCTCACCACTTCTGTCTAATATAGTATTGTAAGTCTTAGCCACAGCAGTCAGACAAGAAAAAATAAAAAGGTATCCAAATTGGAAGGGAAGAGGTAAAATTGTCATTATATACAGCTGCCATGCTACTGTATGTAAAAAAACCCTAAAGACTCCACACAAGAACTACCTGAACTGATAAATGAATTTAGCAGGGGAGCAGGATACAAGATTAACACTCAGAAATCTGTTAGATTTCTTTACACTAACAATGAAATATCAGAAATGTAAAGTTAAAAAAAAAAACAAAAAACACCTTTTGAAATGGCATCCAAAAAGAAAGGTACTAGGATTTGTAAGATACAATTTGATGACTGTAGCTAACACAGTTGTACCATATATAAGAAAGTTAAGAGAGTACATGCTGAGAGTCCTTTTTTCTTTCTTTTATCTATGTGAGAAAATGGGCTTTCCAGGTGGCGCTAGTGGTAAAGAACCCGCCTGCCAGTGCAGGAGATGTAAGAGATGTGGGTTTGATCCCTGGGTCAGGAAGATCTGGAGGACACAGCAGCCCACTCCAGTATTCTTGTCTGGAGAATACCATGGACAGAGGAGCCTGCCAGGCTCCAGTCCATAGGGTCACAAAGAATTGCACACAACTGAACCGACATTGCACGCATGCACTCATAAGATGGATGTTAGCTGACCCTATTTAATCATTTTATAATCTATGTAAATCAAACCGTTATGTTTACATCTTACACTTTTATAGTGATGTATATCTGCTTTTCAATAAAACTGGAAAAAAATTGAATCTTACATAGAATTCAGTCAGCACTTTTAAATGACTAATATTCACTGAGTTATGTGCCATCAGTCAGTTCAGTTCAGTTCAGTCGCTCGGTCGTGTCTGACTCTTTGCGACCCCGTGAATCGCAGCACACCAGGCCTCCCTGTCCATCACCAACTCCCGGAGTTTACTCAAACTCATGCCCATCGAGTCAATGATACCATCCAACCATCACACCCATTTTTCCTTTCATAGCCACACCCACTTTCTTCCTATCCTATTCTTCTCTAAACCTTTGGCAATCATGACCAACCAGGTTCTCCATTTCTATAAATTTATCATTTCAAGATTTATGTTATATTAATTAATAGAAGCATACACAGTATAACATTGTATCTTCTATTTCTTGGCTGAGGTTTCCTTTTTAAAAAATTTGTTTCATACGCTTGTAATTGCTCAGTGAAGAATTTCTACAATGGCTGCTTTGAAATCTTTGTCAAATAATTCTAACATCTCTGTTGTGTAACATGTATTTCTTGTCCTTTTTGCACTGAATTTGAGATCTTCTTTATTCTTCATATAAAAAGTGATTTTTTTTAAACCTGGGAACTTTGAAAATTATACTATGAGACTCTAGATTTTATTTAAACCTTTTGTTTAGCTACTTTTCTTTGATATTACTCTGCCTGGAGGAACAAGTCTACTCACTGCTGAGTGAGGGTTATTGTTTTGCTTCCCCTCATGGTCTCATCTGACAGGCAAGGGCGTGTGGGTTAGTCACTCAGTCGTGTCCAACTCTTTGCGACCCTGTGGACTGTAGCCTGCCAGGCTCCACTGTCCATGGGATTATCCAGGCAAGAATGCTGGAGTGGGTTGTCATTCCCTTATTCAGAGGATCTCCCTTACCCAGGGATTGAACCTGGGTCTCCTGAATTGCAGGCAGATGCTTTACCATCTGCGCCAACAGGCAACGGGTGTCAGTCATTGCAAGCAGACAATGATAAGAGGCTTGATTCCCCGTAAGTCCTCCTCTGACATGACCTCATGGAGGGCAAGGACTCACTCATTACTGATAGGTATCGATGGAAGTTCAGG